CGACATCGATTTCATTTATTTGCATACTAATGTAACATGGGAAGAGTTGCCGAGCAGTATGTGTATAACTAGCAGAGTATTTGTTTCCAAAAAGGGCAGCACAATCTACTAGATATGAATCAATATTTCATGCCACACAGAATGCTTTTCACCAATTTCCCTAACATGTAACCCGACCTTCAGAAAGGAGTATCTTTTCACAAAACATGTACAAAGGTCAAGTGCATTTTATTTATAAACAACATCACAGGGGTCAAAGGTTTCACTTCCTCCCAGTCTCTCTTTACAATCTGGCTGTATTTCACTTGCCTATAGTCTTGTTAAAAATGCTAAACCCCCTTTATTTTTGGCTAGTTTCCCCACATGCATAAAGTACACACCTGGAAACATCAATATGAAAAAGGTTAACGTTTATTGGTCTACACAAATCACAGAAATAAAACCGGTATTACTGGACACTTTGTTCTAGAAAAATGGAATGGACAATAACTAAAGGAAAACCTTGCAATATAATGCAATTCAATACAATTACAAAACTACCTTTCAGACAAAATCAACCAAATTCTTTTATAATCAACATTTTGGAAAGGATTGGATTGCATTACTGTGTTTTATAAGGTTTTCCACTTATTATGTCCATCTTCAATCCATCAGTCAATGAGCCGATCTGCTCTCACTGGGCTGCAGGTCGGACCCCTCGGAGAGACATGGGCCTGTAGATGGTCTGCGTCCTTAAAGAGGTAAACGATGACAACCATGGCAGCTTCTTGTTTTTTTCTGGAGGAGGTCACAGAGGCAACACCCTGCTGTGCGATTTGTTGCTCAAGGCAGCCAGCCGGCTCCTCCTGTTCAAGGTCTGCATGTTGATGCTGACAGCAGTGTGAGCGCGAGGTATGAAGTGACCGCACGACAACACCTCCAGAGCGGCGTCACGGAACTGTTGGACATAAAGAAACCAAATGCATGAGCTTTAATTTCACATGCAATTCAAATCAATTTGACTGAGCATGCCTTTCCAGCTAGCAGGCCCCCTTTCTTTGGAATCAACTTCCTGTTTTTATGAGGGAGGCAGACAGTGTCCAAACTTTTAAGAGTGTGCTGAAGATTTTCCTTTAAAAAAAAGCAGATAGTTCAAGCTGGTTTAAGATTACCCTATGTTGGGTACATTTTATGGTATTTCTTGTTTTATTATATTCTTATTCTCATTTTGGTGTCTCATTTAATTATATATATAAATATTTATTTTATTATTTATTTTGTTATTTGTATTTTACATTCTATCTTGTCTTTTATTATTTTATTTTCATTTTATATCTCCTTTAGCACTGTAATTCATGTTTTTTTTATCTGTAAAGCCCACTGAGACAAGCTGCTTTGTGATATTTGGCTTTAAATGAGCTTTGAGTTGATTTGATTTTCAATTTCACAGCTGCTTACCTGCTTGTTGGTAAGGAAGTAGATGATAGGGTTATAGACAGGGCTGGTTTTAGCAAAGTACATGGGTATGGTGGCAACCAGAGGAGGGATGTAGAGCTCCGGATCCACAACGACCACCACTGACAGCACCGTGTAGGGCAGCCAGCACACAAAAAAAGCAGAGATCATGGCCAGGACCATAGTGATGGCATGGTCATTCTCCTTCTTGCTGGAACGCCCACCCTGCAGCTCCACACTCCTGTTCAGCTGCGAGTAGAAAGGAAATGTGACTCCTATTAAAGGCTAACAGCTCCATTTAGTCAGTAGGTGGTTAATTGCAAACACGAGTATGTGGGTATGAGTTTTAAATCTACTTCTCATGGTGTTAAAGTGTAATGAATATACAGAAGCCATTATTGGGCCCACCTTGTTCATGGATTTGAGCACTTTGGAGTAGCAGTAGATGATGATTATAACAGGCAAAATGAAGCAGAGGAGTGTGTAGAGGATGAGGTAGCTGTAGTTGCTCCACGACCGCTCCTCCCAGGCCAGAGAGCAGGACGTCTGGACCCCCTCAGGTCCGTAGGAGCTCCAGCCCAATAAAGGAGCGACCGCCCAAAACAAGCAGAAGAACCAGACAAGTAGCAAGCCGACGATGCTTCTCCGCATGCTCATCTTCAGACCCTCTTTGGGCTTACACACCACATTGTAACGCTCGTAGGCAAGCAGCGTCAGAGTGCAGAGAGATACCAGACCTAGGAAAGAGCAATTCATTTAAAAAAAAAAACTAAGCTTAAAGTCAAACTACTCTTTTTTTCTGGAGATTTTCACTAATTCTCATGGATGCTCTCAGAGAACGGTGCTTGCATCTTCAATATCTCCATAACAAATTGAGCAAGCTCCATCCACTGAGAAAGCTATGTTGTTGAAAGCTCTGAAAGAAAAGCTACTGCGTGTGCTTTGAATTGCATTGAAACTTTAAATCAGAAAAACACATTTTTCAAGAAAGAAAAATTGAATTGACAACATCTGATAAGAGACATTTTTAAAAAGCTTCAAGCTGAGCCAAAACATAGATGTGTTTGTGAAGCTACAAAACATACTGAGATAAGGTGAAGTGAAAGAAATAGATTGATATTTTAGCCTTACAATTGTGTTTATTGTGTTTCTCAAAGACTGACCCCAAGGCACAGAGAAAAAACAACTAAATTGCTCACAAAAAGTCCATAGAGCACAAACTGCTCTCTCCAAAAGAAAGGGCTCCACTTACCAAAATAATTGACTGCAAATCCCTGGAAGATGCAGGCTGCGTGTCCAATAAAGAGATGGCCTTGGTAGTTGGTGATGGTGACGACCAGAGATCCGCACAGGCCGATCATGAGGTCAGACACTGCGAGGCTGAAGATTAACACGTTCATGGGATGCAGGAGAGACGGGTTCCTCAGCATCACGGTTATCACCAGACTGTTGTTGAACACCGAGAACACTGTGTTGATGAACATGAGGAAAGCCAGTATACTGTAGCCCACCCGAGGGAAGATGGTGGACGCAACAGTCACCCCCTCGGCGTAGATGAAGCCAGGATGTGTGCTGGAGATGGACGGCGTGCTGTTGCTGTCCTCCATGATGCCTAAATGAAGATCTGCCTCGAGGAAACCACTATGAGGCCAGAGAGTGAACCCGCCGGACACAGCGTCGTCGATCTTATCATATCTGATCCCTGATAAACCAGTCGGCTTTGCTTATTGTCAAAGATCTCAGATTGTGCACCTGCCTGATGGAGAAAGCCTCAAATGCAATATTGGAAATTGGTCCGTAACACGATTTGAATGGATTAATCCCAATAAACCCACTGCTATAATGGTAATTGGAAAGTTGAGGGATATTAAGGAATGAATTAGTACTGAAAATTAATTTAATGAAATTATGAAATATGGTTTCCCTTTAATGTTTATACAGCTAATAGAAAAGGAAAAAAAAGAGCACAGTACAAAAACGGATTAGACATTCAATAAATACACACCTGCTAATTACATAGCAATTACCAAACCATATCAATTTGCTTTAGAATAAGAAATAAGCACTTGGCTCGGATCATTAATTCATTTCTACTTGAATAAATAGTGAAAAATAAAATACACCTCATTATCACATATTTTTAACTACAGAAACAAAAATAAACCATGAGGTCTTGTGGCCACTGTTTACACTCATAATTCGCCTTTTCCAGATATTTATCAAATATATTCTTCTCGTGCATTCATCCTAGCACGTGTGAAAACATTTGACTTCTGCAGAAGTGTCAAATACCAGAAACTCAATGATGCCTTAACCCTTGTGTGATGTTCATATTTTTGTTACTCAGCCAGTGTTCGTGGGTCTGGTGGACCCGCTGCCTTATGGGCTTCAATTCAACAAAATCAAACTATTTTATGTTAAAATACTCAACAGATGTTTACTTCATCCCAATTACAAGCAATATAAACAGCATATGTGGTTAATATTTGCCCTTTTACATTTGTTAGATCACATAAAGTGCTACTAGTTTTTTTGCCCGCTGGCCGGCTGGTCCTGTGGCTCGTCTTTTTTTTGTAACTAGTTGATGCTCAATCTCATCCTCTTCTTCAAAGTCACTGTCAGACTCAGAATTCTCAGAAATGTGATCCTCACATTCTGAAGCCTCTTCCTCTTCCTCTACATCATCATCATCAAATGGTTCTCTCGCTTCCAAAATCATTTGCAAGGCCCTCTGAGCAGAGAATCGTTTGGCCATCTTGATCAGAATCAGAATCAGAAACAGGTTTATTGCCAGGTAGGTTCGCACATACTAGGAATTTGACTTGATGTCATGGTGCATACATAAAATATAAAAAACAAGAAATCTAATATAAAACACAAAATCTTTTACACCGTAATAAAATACAGTTAAATAGCAATAAAATACAAATTAAAAATTAAATAAAGCAGTAATTTACATGGAAATAGAATGCTATGAATGAATTTTTGCATATAAACTATGAAATGTGAAATCAGAATATGTGCAGAAAGGAGTATGACATTGTGTGCATTAATGTAATGCATATCAGTTGTGATAAGGACCCAAACTGGCAAAGCTTTATGTATTGTGTCTCGCCCCAAATTTGTAGCTAGGATAGAGTGTGAAAAAAATTAAGATTGGTTCCCGCAAGACATAATGCGGGAATGTGAGAGCAGACAGGTGTCGGTGCTTGAATTCATCAACAATGTTGCAACCTTGTGCGGGAATGGCAGGGACACACACACACACACACACACACACACACACACACACACACACACACACACACACACACACACACACACACACACACACACACACACACACACACACACACACACACACACACACACACACACACACACACACACACACACACACACACACACACACACACACACACACACACACACACACACACACACACACACACACACACACACACACACACAACACACACACCACACAGTAGGGGGTGTGTTGCAGTGGGTGGTCAATGAAAATGTGTTCTGATATATGTTCTTCACAGAAAATGAGCCAAGGCCGTTGATTGTGGGTTTGAAAAAATAATTTATCATATCATTTTTCTTTAACTAAATAATGAAAACGGGTCCCACAGATCCGAACACCATACAAGGGTTAACAGATCAAATAGCAACTCCTGTGCTAAATATAGCAACAATGATCTATTTGTTCCTGAAAATATGAACATTTCTCAGCATCATGACACATACAGGCTGTGGTGTAAGAAACGAGTTCAGATAATCAAATACAGAGATCTCTAAACCTAAATGTGCAGCATGTCACAATGGCAGCTCAAAATGAAATATTGATTACCATAGATAACATGTGGCTGTAAAAATAAACACATTGTAGTAATGTGAAAAAAGAGAGTAAGGCAACAGAGTTTGTTATGGAAATGTCTAGTATGACTATTTCACCGTCAGTCTCTTGTAACGGATGGAAAGAGCAGAAAAGCAAAGGTAATATGACAGGGAAGAAATGATGCAACAGAGATCCTTGATAGACATGATGTGTGACTGCCCCTTATTGTTTAGACTGTGTAAATGCAGCCTTTTCTCTCAAACACACTCAAGACAAACACACAGTCCAACAGTAACACATATACGTAAACCTAAAACAATCAGTGCATTCAATGTCTTAAATTCTGTGCGATTAAAAAACCATGTTTTAAATGAGAGAACTACATCCACTGCTCCTCCTGAATAGTTTGAGAGGAAATATCTAACTAGTCTAATAAGTATTACCGTGACTGTTTCCAATTGTACTTGTGTGGCATCTTCTAAAATCCTAATAATTTCCTTTTTTTTTTATAAATAGATCAGCAATGGAGATGATCCTTAACTTTATTTTTGAATTCCATCTCCCTCTCTTTCTCTCTAATCGGACTCTGCTTTAGTCCCCGGAGCTGACCGGGGAACACCAGTAGGACTGTGTTCAGGCCAGAAGGGGGACTCGTGCTGCAGGGGGGTGCGGCGAGGGAAGAAGGTGTGCTGGAAGTCATAGTTGAGCAAGCAGCTGATGGAGGGCATGTAGATGTCAGCAAAGCGTGAGAGTCGGCGTGAGAAGTAGGTGGGGTTGTGGTACGTCCGGAAGAGACTCCCGAACTGAGGGTTGAAGATGTCCTTCGTCTGTGCTCTGCCATAAAAAAATAACATTGATAGCGTCAATAGTAGTCGATAAGATCTGTCTGCAAGATCCCAGATTTTCGTGATTGCCAAAGTAATTATATTTAATACCTCATGTCTTCTCTCTCGCTGATCCACTCCTCCACGACAGCTTGAGATGCTGGATCCCTGTGAACCTGTTTGGGAGAAGTGCAAAATGTTAGGCACACAACTCTTGGGATAAAGGCAAAAAGGGAAAGACACATTTTTTGTAAAGTCTCCTGACCTGCATCTGCTCAATAAGTCCAGTCAGCGCTTGTAACCAGGCCATCATGTGCACATACTCCTCTGTGTTCATGATCTTAATCTCCTTCCTCAGCTCAGGGATGATGGCACCCGTCCTCCAGCCATGTTTCAGAGTCAGATCCTGCAAAACAAAGCACCAGAATTGAAGAATTTACCCATTCGTTGATACACGTTTTTTTTACATTTAGGGAATGAGCAATAATAAATGTAAAGGAGGGGTATAAACAACACACAGTAGTTGGAGAAATAACACATATCCTACAGTACAGCAGCCTGAATGTGAGGGTATTGCTGCTGTTATAACAGTGTCATAATCACAATGATGATTAACTGGTGGGACAACTATGACATTAACCTTGTCTATACCAGCCATACACACAGCACATCAGCAGCACAACTGCAATGTCACACTAAAGATTTGCTTTTGAAATTGGTTGCCGTATTGCGCCTAAAGCTCAAATAAATAGGTGACCAGTACAAATTGCTAACAGCACCAATTTAAACATTTAAGACTGTAACAAGTAGGTAAGTAGGGCGACTGAGAAAGCCTTGCTGATTCAGTGAAGTGAGAAGATGTTTCAGGATTCTGCTGTGTACTTAAATATAGCTGCATGCTCTGTAACTCCTTAGCAACTCCTGCTTCTTCTCTGTGTCCAATTGCAGTAACAATCTCCTCGATGTCCATCTATCCTACAGTGGAGCTGTGGCGGTGTAACACCATGTTCCATCTTTCTTAATGAGCAGGGTGGCTGCCTGCCACCAGCAAGGCAAAGATGTAAACTCCGTATTTCATTATCACCATTTACAGTTGATCAGACACATTCAGTCGTTATAATAAAAAAAGACAATGGATCTTACTTTGTGAGTTTATCGAGATGAGGGGCTGCTTACATCAGGTTGCTAGGTTACGATGTAAATTAGGTGCAGGGATGCCCACTACTGTAGATTTGGTAGGTGTCAGGGGACAGTAACACTCATTAAAATGCCTGTCAACAAACCCAATGCAGTGCTACAGTGACTGTGGTTTAATGCATTCCTAACCCAGTTATTTTAGTATCTTTGTTCTGTTTCTAACATCCGCTCAGTATCTCATTATGTGCTCTTTAACAGAGCGTTAAGATTGAGACTGTTGGATATAAAGATTAACTCAGCGTCGGGCCTTTAAATTCAAGAGAAAAACACTTATCTTAAATGGAGCATGGTCAAAGCGGGGTTCCCCTCTTTGTTCATGATATGGTAATCTTTCATTGTACAAAGTTTTGTGTAGTTATAATGAGCACTTCGTTGTGATCATGCTGCTTACTGCCAAGTCACTGTAGATGTGATCACCAAAGTAGAGCACTTTGGATCCTCCCCAGCCGGTGAGTCTCAGGAACTCATAAAGGTTTCCCTACAGGCATCAAACACACATAAAAAAAACATATATTTAAAAAAGCTGTATCCAGGATTACTAATACAAAACATTTAAACTAGCATGCATGTAAAAACACCTGTTTGTAGATCTTCCCTTTCTCCAACTTGTGAATCCTGTCCCACAGCAGTGCACCTTTGTCTGTCACTCGTCTGAAAGGTCTAGAGAAAAATACACAGAGAAGAATATTAGCCAATGTTGATCGCTCCCAAACAAACATGCACCTTCTGTGTAACAGTATGAAACAAGGTGTACTGGTAACTTCTGGCACAGTGAGGCCTCTAGTGGAATATTAAAACACAGCATGGACACAGTATGCCTTGTCTTGCTTACTTCCTCCTGTCGTTAAAGAAACCCGGTTTGTCGGCCTGAACGATGACAATATCAAACAGGTCCCGCCAGTCCTTCCCTACGATAAAGTTCATTCCTCGATCCCTGGGAAAGATTAAAGAAAGTATCTTGTCAGCAACTTCTTAAAGCTCATCATGAGGGTACGGTAACAAACATTTTGTGAATCAAGTCTGACCTAACAAGATGATCATAGTCACTGACAGGGAATTACAAACACTTGCAGCCCTTTGATGTGTGGTTGCCTATCTATATGTTGAATGGCACTAATTAAATATTAGTACATCGATACAAGATATTTTTAATTAATCACAGAAACAAGCACTCGCGCTCTGTTTCCTCACACTTACACAAAGTCAAATGGGCTGTTGGTAATGAGGAACATCTTTTTTCCATGCTCTGCCAGCTTCTTCAGAACAGCATGGCTCTGCTCACCATAGCAAATGTATTTCCCTGAAAAATAAGAAAAACAAAGATAGTGTGCAGTGGATAATTTGGACAGTCAAAACTGCTTTTTATTTGCAAATCAGAGCCTCATTATTTCCGTATTAGTTTCACATGACTTGTCAACAATTCAAAGCTCAAACTAAGTAAAGCAAATCAAGGAACATTACCGATATCTGCCTCCACTGCGCGGTACATAATGCCTTTGACGTGAACATCTCTGATGGCTTCCTGTGGAGAGGAAAGAGTAAAGCCAGTCATGACTTAATGTGCCAATGTTAGCATTCAGCTGCAGTAGCAACACTTTGCTCAGTTTATACACGGTTGACTTGGAGGCACAAAAGAAAGTGCACCTCTGAATACAAATTAAATGTGCAAAAAGCAGACAATAGTTGAGTTACTTTGGTGACACAGTGAGAAAGTTTCTCTGTATTTTCAGAAGTGTATTTGAATCACTGAACGAGTAAATAAACCCTTCTTTGTGAACTTGTACATTTAAGGGCAATTTTAAAAGAGGTTTATCATTTACAAAGATTATTGGATGAATGCAAAAATAATAAGTAAACAAAAGGGGTAATGCTGAATAATAAATCAAGCATGGCAGGGAAAAAAGAGATTAAGCAGTCTGTCCTTGGAAAGATATCGAGAGGCACTCGAGGAACTGAGAGTGTGTGTGAGGGCTTTTAATGACAGCGATCTGTCAAAAACGCTGCAGTGTCACACAGAATAGACAGGACCAGCATGACAGCTGCCCTCAAAGGCAGAACAAAGCGCTGATTTCTCGCCCCTCTCCCTCTGAAGCGGCAGAGCCACCAGAGAACAGACGCAGATGGCTGGAGGCGGACTCACCAGACTAAAATTAGACACCGGTTTTCAGAGCTAAAATTAAGATGTGATTGAATGGCTGGTGTATTACATCACACTGCAAACATGTAAACGTTTATGTAAATGTGGCTGGATTTAATGTCTTCACATGCATTGAACCCTGGGAGATACAATAACTGGGAAAATGAGTGCCACTGAATCAATTTAATGCAAATGTTGTATGCTGAGTTTCCAAACTGTTTATCAAAGAAGGTTTATTAATAGCAAGACAGCTCACCTTCACGTCTTTGTAGAGATGCACTGGCTCATAGTCGATATTGTGCCTCATGAAGAAGTCGTTGACACAGGACAGCAGGGTCATCTCAGGCAGGGAGAAAATGTCCATGAACTGCTTCATGGTTTGGCCATGGGAGCTCTGCAGGACAGTGATAAACAGCATTATATGTTGTTGGTTTTATCTCTCTAGCGCCTGTCTTGTCATAGATAAGAGAGGAAATGATCACCTTGCCATAGAAGTCACTCATGTTCTCTAGAGGTACATGGCAACCTTCATACATGGCAATTACTTCCTCATCAGGAACTGGATCCAGACCTCTGATAAAGAAACACAAAATAGAAAGTCCTTAGACAAAAATATAATTCATACTGTCATTTTTAGCGTCTGCAAACAAACTAAAAGTGATGATAAACCATAGAAAGGCTGTAGGTTGTGCAGTCTTGATTGCTAAATAATTGTATTTAACTGTCTAAATCTGTAGCCTGTAGAGAAAAGCACATTACACTCACAGTGTTGTGTTCATTTTACATTTCAGTTTATTACTCTATAGCTCGATGTGAGGAGTAACACAATGCAAAGTTACCTGTACACAGTTCCCAACTGGATGTAGTGAAAAGCATCTATCTTCATCAGCAGTCCCTGTTTAAAATGATTAATGTTCAACAAAATGTATCATTAATAAACAACATGTTTCGGTACAATGGTTGTAAAGAATATCAAATTGTCCATTTCTGAGTGAGAAAAATAAAGATCTTCTCACCTTCTGCACATCATAGTGAAGTCCTCTCACGGCAAAATTAGGAATATACTCATAATCTCGCAGACCCTCTGGATACTGATATAAAAGAAAATCAAGATTCTTTTTTTAATAACAGAAAAAGCACAAGATAAACTGAATATTAAAACAATTTAGCAAAGGAATAAACCACAAGGTTAATACATAAGTCAACCTTCAATATGTACTGTAGGTAAAGAAGCTGCTGCTGTATGATAAAACAAACAGTTTAAATGCAGGGTGAGTATTTTGCCTATTTTAACCAAAGCTTTTCAACCTGTTGCTCTCAGTACCATCTCTCTACTGTATATGTTAGTGCATGTGTCATGTGTGTGCATGTTTGTGGAAAAACTGAGTGACCCCTCAAGGGATTAATAAAGAGTACCTTCCTTTTAACACTACTATAAATCTCTTAGCTACAGGATATCTTAGGTTATTACTCTACGAGACATTCTTCATGGCAAACATTAAAATACATGATTCTTTATTGTCCTGTTTTGTGTTTGGTTCATTTAGTTTACAAATACATTTCAGCTGTAAATAATATTTCTTTCTGTATCTGGAAAAAAAAAACATTTGTACATCTAGCTTTTAAGATTCACAAACTTAACAAACACACACCCTGTGGTTAGTGATGAGAATATCCCGTGCTATGTTGAAGATCAGGGTGTGGAGGTTCCTGGAATAAAACGCCAGGGTGTAGTCATAGTCGAAGCCATAGACCTCTGTGTCTCGGAGGCTCATCTCATTGTTGGCAAAAATGGTGTCAGGGTTGACTGCATTGGAGGTAATGGCTGGGATCAAATCTAAGAGGAGAAAAACACATTATTCTGCAGCCTTCTTACATCTGGGTACATTATATATTGCTACGACAGGAAAGCTTATATTAGGAGAGAAGTGCATCTATCTTGTGTGGTATATACATGGTTCTGAATAGGTGTCTGAATAAAGCCAGAACACTCCAACATGCACCACCACATTAGATTGTCAACTACAGTTTAATCCCATTCAAATAAGATAAGATAAAATGGATCTATATTGATCCCCATAGGGAAATTCAGGTTTTATAGCAAGAAGGAAACACATGAGAATGTATGCTTTCAGTGTTCAGTAACTTACTATGCATAATTCAGGAGAGCACACTATTACATTTAATAATTCAAACTTTAAAGAACAGGCCTTCAGGGTTTGTTCATTCTCTAGCAAAAAAATACACAAGTGGAAAACAAAAATAGATTAACTGTGTTGTGATGTAAATATTTGGACTTTTTGGCCACATGTGGGAGATGAGTAGTTTTTACTTGACCTAATATATTATATTTGTATATACAAAGTATTTAATGACCACGATTTTGATCAGTATAAGTATTCATGGCTGGGGTTTATGTTAGCAGTGCGCATGTGGAGAATGTGTTTATTGTTTACAGGCTTCAAATGTGATGCTGTAGAACTGGTTAGTGTACTAGTCTGCTGGAAACATGAGTTATAATAGGGTTACAATGCAGCGTTGTTTACACCGAGCTGTCTTTGCATTGTATGATAGTGTCCCTACCTCCAGTCTGCCTTTTGGTCTCATTGTAAACAGACCTGAGCCTCTCGGTAATGTCCTGCCCGTCTGCAGAGCTGCTGCACACACATGCTGCGTAGTTTGTGCTTCTTGGTTGGTGTGACAGGAGTTTACCGACCCCATGCGCTACTGCACCGAAATTCCGTTTCCATAAGAAAGATGTGAATGGCGGATGATGTAAACTCTGTAATACATTACAGAAGAGAGACGCCTTCTGTAGAAAGTCCTTGTGCTTCAGGAGAGACGCCAGGGGTGAAGACAAGGGCGCCATGACTGTGCTCTCTGCGGGGCTTATCGGGTGGAGGTCGCGGTGGACTCGCAGACAAACGTATGCACTGGACGAGCTCTTCTGTAAATACCGCATGTGTCAGTCGCTGTATGTTTGCTCACTACGTCACTTCCGCATTTGTCTGCGTACCAGTAAAAGCAGCCAACCAGCGAATCAGAGGCCGGTGCGTCTGTCTGGAGTCCAGTCTCCTCCTACTGAGCTGCTGCAGAAAAAGTGGTGAGGACAATTTCTCCAGATTTAACATCAGTATAGCAGAAGACAAAAGATGTTCCCCCACCTGTGTGTTGAACCTCGAGCTCCTGCATGAAAAACCAATGCATAGACCTCTGGATCACCAATATGTTTTTAATACATTGAACGCCACAACTATTAGTCTTGCTGTGATGTGATTTTGAGTGAATGTGTACCTTTAAGCACACATGTATGGAGGACAGAACATGACATTAAAAACAAATTAATAAATGCATAAATATAAAATAAATGCAGGAATAAATACAGGAATACAAAAATACAAGAATACATATATTCGAAATAAAACAGAAATAAATTAATGTGGAAATAAATACAGGAATAAATAATCACAAGAACATTTTTATAAATACAGGAATAAATAAATACATGTGGAAATAAATACAGGAATAAATAAACACAAGAAAAAATAAATAAATAGGGAAATAAATGAAAAATTATAAGTTGAGAATAAAACTGAACACACATTATATATCTTTAATGTATTTCTACATTTATTTTCACTTACATTAATATATGTATTAATGTATGTGTCACACAGTGTTGTTTTGCTTGGTAGCCTTGTACTGTGTGGATACAACATTTATAACAAATGTACTTTCAATTGCTCTGAAAGTACACGTGTCTTTAACAATCTCTTTGAGTTGCTATCATATTTTATTTCATTTCCTCTCACCAGTCTGTATAAACTGTAAAGCCTCCTGAGACAAAAGTACAATTTGTGATATTGGGCTACATAAATCAACTTTGATTGACTTTGATTGATGGATTTGGCTCAGGTACACTTCACTTCAGAGCCCTCAAGAGCCAGATATAAATGTGTATTGGTGTCAAAAATTGTGTTGCTATTAAAGGTTTTGGGAGGCAAGATGGAATGTGTGGGTGAAATGGTGAACATCGCGTGAGTACAGAGTAGTACAGAGTATTTTACTGGAGACCCAGCCTTAGGTAGACCGTAGACGCCCCTCCCCCCACACCTCCGAGGGACGTGAAAAATATTTGTATGGCATATAAAAAGAAAAATATAATAATACAATAATATTAATAAAATATTAATAATAAAATAATAATTTAATTAAGAAGAAAAAAAAAAATTATGAAAAGAAGAAAATAGTAATACAAATAAGTATTGAATAAATAAAATAATATAATATATAATCATACAAACTAACTTAAAAAAAGATGTATAAAGAAATGTAGTATGAAAAGAAATGTTATAAGAAAAAGAAAATGAGAAAAATAAGACTTAAATACATTATATATTTTCTTAAATGTTTATATAAAACTTGAAAATTGAAAAAAACAATTACAATTTATTTGGCAATTGGGAACAAAGATTGTCTCTTTGCTGCTTTAAGAAAGAAACACACACACAAAGGTACAGGACTTTTTATGTTTTAATTTCCTTTATTATCTTTGAGAGTTTTCATGTATTGATAGATGTTGTGTCCTGGCCAGCCTAAACGGGACGTTCCGGTCAGCTAGCAACACCACACCCATAGTAAGTACTATTTGACACCTGTAGTAGGCTTTTATAACCAGGTAAACACCATTGGCTTCATAAATATACTAAACATACTCATCAGACAGGCTGAGCAAGCAATATTCTAATGTGCACATTTGTATGATACTGTTACAAACTATTTATCCATAACCATTCGTTATTTCACTATGAAACAATCTCAATTTTCTACAAATTGTTTAGCAAGTATTTTTTTCCTTCATCTGCATTTCATTTTACTAACAGCGACACCTTGTGGACGAAGACTAGTTTTTAGATTAGATTAGATTAATTTATTGTCATTACAAAATGCAAGCACAGTAGCAGGTATGTACACAATGAATGATACAAAAATAAAGGTAAATAGATGGGAAATGTATAAATAAGTGATGCCGTTAATATATTCATCATTCATTCAGTGCGTTTCCACAACAGGATATCTGACGTACTGCATCCACACCTTTGAGGAAAAGGGAATGCAGAGAAGACAAATACTATACCATATACACCTACGTAGATAAACGTTACATCATTCAGACTAACATAGACGGAAACAGGCACAGTGTTGCTTCTCAGGCACTGACAATAAGGCATAAACAAAATATGCAATGTCACCCAGCTTCTGTGTCACCTGGCTGTGACATTGCATGAGAAAATAAAACTTTAACTAACGTGTTACTGTTGACAGAGATTTTTTTCCTCCATATTGAGTGGTACATTTAGGGAAGTGATTTGCTGATTACTCATTCTTGTCCAATGATGTCTGGCCACGATTTTCGGGTCCTCACATATGTTGACGAATCTGATTGGACAGCATGTACCAAATACTCTACGGTGATTGGTCGAAGGTTGTGCGTGGTGCGCTGCCATTGGTCGGTTGTCACGGGTTTAATAGAGTGGGTTCTTTCGGTGCGAGAGGTAGCTTGTCAGTCTCTCTTGTTAAGGCAGTGCTGCGTGCACTTATCTCCCGGCTTTTGTCTCAGGAGCTGAAGATACACAGCGTCGTTCAAGCAGCAACTCAAAATGAAACACGCCTGGGTGATAGGACTCGTGTTTGCACTCTGTGCTTTTGGTGAGTAGCAAGAACATTTTGCTATCTTGTATCACTTTTTTATTGCCCAACATTTGAGCTAACATTAGCCAGTAAGCTAGCGTTAACTTGTGGGTTTTTATCTGCTCGTTCGTGATTAGATCCTCATGTGATAAGCATTTGTTAAAGCTTCACTTAGACAGCATTGTTTCTTGGAACAACGCTACTATAAGCTATTCTTGCCTTTCCAGAATATTCTAGTAGAAACACCATGTAACGTTATATTTAAGCTATTTGATGCTAGGTAACATCCCTATTCAAATCTCTCTGGTAAAACGTTACATTTTAAATCTGGTTTTCAAAACACACCATACTTAACCGAACATCTAACATATTTGGGTAATTCAATCAGATCTTTGCAGAGCTTCATTCCCAATAAAAAGCTTTTAAATGCTGAATATTTCTCCAGATATAACTGTATGTAATCTAATGTCTTTAACCAATCAACTCTGGTCCCTTTGCAGCTGCTGTGAAGGCAGAGGATGAACTGGACATCGAAGGGACAGTAGAAGAGGACTTTGGTAAAAGCAGAGATGCCTCCAAGACAGATGATGAGGTGGTGCAGAGGTAGGTGTCTCTTTTAATATCCTTTCACAATATGCCTGACATCAGGAGAGGTCACCTAAACCCAGAGTTACCAGCACAAGGTCAACATGACCAATCTTGTGCACACAAACCCTCATGGCAGCAACCCTTGTATTGTAGTGGTGGCCAAGCTTTGCAACATTAAGTGCACATCCCTCCAACAAGGGACTCTTCTGAGCCTTTAACTTGGATACAGATCCCTCAAGGGGAACACAGATTTACCTTTTTTGGTTGTTGACAGGGATGATTTGTTGTTGTGCATGTCCCTGAACTCACCTATGTTTGTGCTTCTGTCTATCCCCAGAGAGGAGGAGGCTATCCAGCTGGACGGATTAAATGCCGCTCAGATCAAGGAAATCAGAGAGAAGTCAGAAAAACATGTCTTTCAGGCTGAAGTCAATCGTATGATGAAGCTGATTATCAACTCCCTCTACAAGAATAAGGAGGTGAGAAGGAATAAATGGCACCTTTTTATATACAATCTGCGGCTTGGCAGGATCCTTTCTATGAATTGTGTTTGCATCTGTGACCTTCTTTCCCTCCTGTTTGTAAATGAGGAAAGCCAACTATTTGAAATGCCTCAATATACATGGTTTCACTAGATCCTTAAAACTTTTTAATTTATTGATATCAAAATAAAACCCTAATTGGTATTAAATCAAGTCTTGAAAATGCTAAGACATGGAAAGTAGGGAAATATTATATTAACGTTTTTTTTTTCTTTTGTCCTTGCAATTTGAAATCTGAAAGTACTTGGTGAAATCATTTAAACATTTTTCTTTACCAAATCACTCTCATTAACAACTTGCAGTTCCAAATAGAGGAAAAATTGGTTATTGGTTGTTTCAAAATGTTAATGAATCTCTAACACCGTCAAACAAAACATAATTTTTTTTATCTTTTATAAGGTATAATTTATGGCTGAGCTGCTGTATTTGATTGCATTAGATTTGACAGACATATCAAGTCAAATGGTCACCCAGTCTATATGAAACGCATACAAACAGAGCTATATGTTAAACCATGTACAACAAACTTATCCTAGCAATGAGAATTAAAACTACTTCAAGAAGATCTGCATGGCCTGATGCCTGTGTTCACAAGGCCGGCGCATTGTGTGCTTTCACTATTATGGTATATCTTACAGACCTTTTCAGGAAAGGCTAACTAATGATCAAATGTTTTTTGTTTCTTTTTCAGATCTTCCTTAGGGAGCTGATTTCCAACGCCTCCGACGCTCTGGATAAGATCCGCCTGATGTCTCTTACCAATGAGAATGTAATGGCCGCCAATGAGGAGCTGACTATCAAAATCAAAGTATGCACAAAAAAGTCTTCAATACAATTGTTGCAGTCTTTATTGGTCATGTTTACCGCCTGTAACTTAACTTGAATGTTTTACCTTCAGTCTGATAAGGAGAGGAACATGCTCCACATCACTGACACTGGTATCGGAATGACCAAAGAGGATCTGGTGAAGAATTTGGGAACCATCGCCAAGTCCGGCACCAGCGAGTTCCTCAACAAGATGACAGAGATGGAGGGGGATCAGTCCACCTCAGAGCTGATTGGCCAGTTCGGAGTGGGCTTCTACTCGTCTTTCCTCATTGCTGACAAAGTCATTGTGACATCCAAACACAACAATGACACGCAGCACATCTGGGAGTCTGACTCTAACCAGTTCTC